TTTTAAAAAAATGCGAAACTTGATATTATTCGCCATCTAGTGGTCGTACACGAACGAATTTATATTCATTGGATTCGTCTCACTGAGACGCGTCGAATGGCGCTAAGATCATGTTTCTAGCACCGATAGATAGCTTGCTAATTCAAATTATTGATAATTCATTTAGCGTGGGTTAACGTGTGTTCTACCGATGCTAGAGACATAATCTTACCACCATTCGACGCGTCTCGTCGAGACGAATCTAATGATATATGGCTCGACTTTATATGATCACTAGATGGCCGGCTATTCGATTTTTCGCATTTTTATAAAAATCGGATTAAACCGAACCGAACCGCCGGTTTTTCGGTTCGGTTCTTACGGATTTCGGCTCTAATCCGAACCGTCTATAATCTGGACCAAACCGACCCGTTCGGAGCTTTAGTCAAGAGGCATATAAGAGGTGGAAAAATTATGCCACTACGATCGGGTATGTCCAAGCTCTTGGAAAGCCATTTTGAAAAAGGGAATATTGACTGGATATCTTTTGAAGATGTAAATGACTTCTATAAAAGATGGATAGACCGCCTCACCGAGGATCAGCTTTATATTATGGAGAAAATGCTTAGGAATGGGATGGTCGTGGACCCCCAAGAGAGGGAAACCATAGAGCATGCATTAAGTGAACATAGATGGGGAGGCGATCCTTGGAGACTGGGAGTGGAATGAATGGACTCAACAGGAGTAAGCATTTTGTACTTGACTTTCGTAGGAATTACCCTGCAGAGTCATATTTTTTAGATCCGGCCGGCATTACCGCGTAATCCCGAATTACCGAAAAAGGAAATTTATGTTACACAAGATTCCAAACGCATTTTTACCAAAATCGATTCTTGTGGAACGGGTATCGCCCAAAAAGGAAATGATCTACGTACCCGCATGAAGTCACATGACATCGAAATTATTAGATCGAGACATCGTGTCCCGATCTCAAAGTTTAGCACTTTTTTTATACACTGTACTGTAAAAAATTCCACGGTTTTTCCATGAATGCAATTTAGGCCAATAATCCAATAACTTATTCATCAGGTATCCTCGTGTTTTGCGACAAGGACTGATGACCATGTAACCTTATCATCAGGTATTCTTGCATTTTTTGATAAGGACTGATAGATCTCTTACCGCTGATCTATTGACCAAAAATTTTCGAAAAGAAAATTTATATATCTTCGTACTAACAACTCTTATATTTTACCCAACTTATACCTTCTAACATGTCTAGAAACCTTGCTAGAATTGGTGGCGGCAGCTATAACCCCAATAGTAATAAGGCTGCTCGTCAAGAAAAGAAAAACAATAAAAAACAACTCTCTGATAACTCTGGCTCCGATAGTGATAGCACTGCTCAAAAACGTTCCCGCATTATCACAGATAACACCATGGATGAAGATTTCGTTGCCGACGTGCCGGCTGACAATGGTTTAGTTGGTTCAACTTCGACCGCTATTCCTCAACAAAATAATTCCCGCAGCACCGCCCAAGAAAATACTCAAGCATCTACCCCGAGTAATTCTGCTGTGCCTACTGCGCCTGGCCAAGACGCGTCCTCTGGAGATAACGCGTCTATTCATGCACCTCAAAACAAAGAAAATAACTCATCCCTAACGCGTCCCTTAATATGGACGTAAATGATGGTACATCGCCCGATCAGGCTGTCGATCCCTCCCCTACCATTACCATTAATCGTCAAGATTTCCTGGCTGCGGCTGCGCCCAACTCCGCTCCCCAAACTCTTGAGAAACTTAAAACTAATAAGGCAATCATTGATGCCGTTAACAATTTGTTTTTAGAAACATATGAATCATATACCGGTCGGGCTCGTATGACTGGTTCAGGGGACGCTAAACGTCTCATCATTCACTTCCATACTGCGGAGGCTCGAGACTTGTGTATTGGTTCCACACATTCTGATTTTCCGGACCTACTTTTCCACCTGTATGATCCCAAACAGCTCCGGTCCGATGAAGACCTCCGTGCAATTCAAGTCACGGACATACCGTTCTTCATTACTAAACCCCAACTACATTCCTATTTCAAAAAATTTGGCAATTTGCTATCCCTTCATCTCTATTTAAGGAAAGGTGCCAAAATGCAACAAGCCCGCATCGTTTATGATTATGCCGATGCCATCGCCCATTTTACCACTCAATGGGCAGTTTATTGTTTTTCCACTTGTTTGCGCGTTACTCCCTGTCACTATTCAGTGGATCAAAAAGCTGCTCATCGCAAATTTGTTGCTGTCCTCTCTGGACTCCCGGCTAACACCAAAGACATCCATCTCGCTCCCTTGGTTAAAGAACATGGAGCTAAAGCTATTAACATCCCTCTTTCTCTTAACTCTTATAAACCTAAACCATGGGCTTATGTTACCTTCAATTCACAAGCGACAATGGATGCCGCTATGGAACAAACAATTGGATTCCAAGGTCGTACTCTTCGGTGGGGTACCTCTAACGATTCGAAAGCCCTCTGCCACAGATGTGGTAAGCTCGGTTGCGCTCCTACCTCCTGCCCGCTTAATCAACGCCACGGTCGCTCACGCACTCGTGACCCTGTTGCTGCTCTTAAAGAACGTTTTAACATTGGCCAACGACCTGCTCAACAAAGAACTCTGCGTAATAATTCTCGATCTCGCTCTCGCTCTAAATCCCGAGATCGTTCTGCTTCTGCTCAACGTCCGAATTCAAACTTTAACCGCTCTAACAATAATAATAATAATTCTAATAATACTAAACCCTCTTCCTCTGGTCTGCTTAATTCCTCCTCAACCGCTCATGGACGCACGCCTTCCAATAATCGAAAAGGCAAAGATAGATCTGTTTCTTTTTCGTCCAATGCTCGTACTCTGCTCCTGGATCCAAACTCTCCTAATGCTCTTGAGGCTGCCCTCAAGATTCTTGATGTTTTAAAGAATCTTCAACAAGATGTTGCTCGTGTGGAATCCCGCATTTCAAATCTTGAACTTAACAATCAACGGCTATCCGTTATTGAAGCTCATTTAGGTATCACTCCTCCCTCCGCTCCTGTTGTCAATTCTGAACCTGATCGGATGGAAGAAGACCCTCCTGAAACCACTGGTACCTTAATCCCACATCCTAATGCTCCCTCATCTTCTGGTGCAAAGGATTCCTCTTCCCCCAAATATATACTCAATAATGCTCCGCATCCAACTCTCACATCCACTTCTACCCCTTCCCCGCAAGACGAATTGAACTCGGTTATACAAGATCAAAAGCGATTAAAGATACTTTACAATCGCTCACTGGTTCCATCCAAGGTTTTATCGCTTCTCTTGGTGGTT